CACTCTTGTGTGAAAAAAATATGAAAAGGCCAAGTTAACAAACAAAAAGGTTGAGTTTACAATCCAGTTTTCCAGTCTCACCCAGTTCCTGAGGCTCCCACATGTAGGGGTCCACTCCACCATAGTAGAAGGACTCATAACTGCCTGTGTCCGGTCTGTCATCTCCATCCCTTTTCAACAGCTTGTCTTTGGCTTTCTTTGCCTTCTGAACCAAACCTGCGTACAAAGAAAATTCGACACAAATACCACCATGTGTGGAAAATGCAGAAAGGATATTATATACACATGGACCACAAGTCCACAAGAACATCCACTAATTTCCAGATGAATGATTGAATTGAACAACTAGATTCCTCCTTGCATGCCTCTGTTTCCCATCAATATATTCTTCATCTCTACATTTTATCACATTCCTGTTTGTCCTGCCATGAAAAGCAGCAGCAGAATATGTTGCCAAATCATCCTGGAAACAATTCCCCTGCTCTAACACTGCAGTGCCCTTGAATCAAATTCATGATGTACTCTTTAAAACTGCTTTTTAAATGAAGCCACACAGACTTTTAGCTTAACTAAACAGTACAATGTTCTTTTTTCTCTGTTTTACGTGACAAGATGTGATAAGACTCAAATGCCATTATGGCTGTGAGCGGAATCCACAAGTACAATTAATGGGACCCACTTTTGAGCTGTCCTCTAACATGGCGGTCATCCCCAGAGTGCTCCTCTTCGTAGTGGTCTTGGAGTTGGTAGAATGACTGAAGGTCCTTCAGGCAAAGTGGGCAAAGAAAGCCCTCCTTCACTTCACCTGTGACCTCAAAAGGGGGTGGATAACTGGAGGCCATGACAGTGGCTGTGTTGTTGGAGACGAGATGCAAAATGGGAGATTCTTGCTTCGGTCCACATGTCACAGGGTGTGAAACCCACCCTATATTAGTGCCATCACAACAGAGAAAAGCTTGGGAATCTAAAAAGCAGGACAAAGCAGACTTTGTGGGATTAAAATGTTTACTAACTTGGCCAAAAATCCAACACAGATTTAAACATGTATTCTGATTAGAATGTCAATTTTAACCATATCTGGTAAGTTATGCAAACTGAATAATGCATCATTTCCTGTAATGACACACTGTGACTTATATGTGAGTAAAACATGGGAGGCAGGGGTGTCAGGTCAGAGAGGATTGCGAAGGTGAAATATATTACATTCTAACTTGATATAGAATATAAATGGGGTTATTACACCTGTACAGTCGTGTTATATTGCTCTCATGAGTGAAGAAACAAACATTCAGATTTACACCCACTGCTGAAGAGCTGCATGCTTTTTTAAATAAATTCTAGCCAACAAGCTAACGTTACTGCAGACAGTGTTGAGTTTCACAAGTCTTACACATCAATTATTTCACAATGATTATAGTTATTTAACGTTACATGTTTTCTTGATCTTGTGCACATTGAAATTAACCTGTAGATTTAAACGCTACATTTTTACCAGGTCACGTTAGCTAACGTTAAGAGTTTATACCTAGCTAACCCACTCAGTCAGTTTGTGTATCAACAACCCACGGTTGTTGTCAGTGGAAAAAAACCAAACCTAACTAGACGACAAGTATTTGCTTTTCTGACTGCGAGCACTGTCCAATTTGATATTTGCATATTAACTAACCAATGGCTAAAGTTGTATTGTTTAATATTTGGCCGCCTAGCAGAGAATGCAACGTTAGCTCGAGAACGCTAGCTGCAGGTCTCGCTTTCTTTAGACATCGTTTCTGCAATGTCGTTGTTCAAAACACGGAGATAAATAACTTCCAACATCACAACAACAAACAGTCGCGGACTTAGCAACACGACAGATAGTGTATACTTACAAATGAATCCAACAATAACTGTGTGGTTGACAGTTAAGCTTTTCTTTGACAGCTCGACAACACCAGCTGCAGCAGCAGCAGCAGCCCTGCCTGGTCATGTGATTAGCATTCAGTGTGTAAGGAAAGAGAAGAGAGACATATGGCACGAAACACACTGGCTTCACAACCATAGACAGTATCTAAAGAGTTCACAACACGCTGGATTATATGAGGTCTCTTCATCTTCTTTTTCTTCTTCTTCTGAGAGGTAGTTGGCGTCAATGTCCATTATTTAAAATGGCTTTAAATAAGTCCAGTAGCCAAAGGTGTCATTTACACTGGGGACGCATGGGACATGTCCCCACCACATTTTGAAATGGCTGATTTTGTCCCCATCACTTTTTGAAAGCATAACATGTTCTGAAAAATAGCTTGCACCAAGAAATATTAACTAACAAATGAAAATGCTTTGAGAAAGGTTTATTTGCACAATAAAAAAACATGCAATGCAATTCAAATATGGAAGAAACAAATGTGCATTGTCCAAAAAAAGTAACCTAAGCTAAAAAGAACAAGCAGCTGATTGCTGCATTATATTATGTTGTATTTTTATATTTATAAATAGTCACCTCCCAGCTGAATGTTTCCCTTTACATAAAAAAGACATTTCCACCATAAATTGGAGAAGAAAATGTCTCCAGAATGCAGGAAATTAAGTGTTTAATGCTCCAATTTTCTGGGTGAGGACCCCCAGACTCCCGCTCATAAATCTCACCATTTCCAAATGTTAATTCTTCTTCTTGTTCATCCTCATGTCTCGTGATCCAAGTGTATCATCACGCCCCTAATCTGAGCCCTTATGTCGCCACCACTTTTCAACACAAAGTGACGCTCTTCCCAGTAGCTCTTATAAAACCAAACAGTCAAATGTACTTTTTTACACAGACCTCTACTTGTCCACAGTTGTATGATCATCACTTGTCTTTCTTCTGTAGCCTATATTTTTCTGCATGTTGCTAGAAAATGCTCTACTGTCTATTGTTCCTATTTCTGTCCTGTTAGTTCCCCTACGTCTTCTCATAGGCTACTTACTTAGCCTACTGTTGCCGCTGTTGATTTGTTTTTCTCCACATTATGCTTTTTCCTTTTGATTTTTTAAGTTTAATATTAATTTCAACAGTATATTTTTTTATTTCTACCTTTTTGTTTATTAATGTGTTATTTTTCCCTTTACAAACTTCTTGATTTGGATTCAGATCCTGATGATTACTGGCTGTAGGCTGTTGTAATGCCAGCCTGTGTTTCCTTCTGCTTTTGTTTTTCTGTTAATAAGCCTATTTGAAACAAAGTTTGCCATGACTAATGGACTGTGCTTGCTGTGAGTTGGTTTAGGTTGGCAAATACAAGGTTGGTGTGCAAAGCGGGAAACAGCCACTGTGTGTCAGACGGTTTGGGACAATTTAATTCATTAAAGTAAATTAAAGTAATTAGGAATATGCACTACAGTGTGACCTGATGATAAGAGCATTCATTATTACTTAAAGATGGACTAAGCGATTCTGGAGAAATCCAATACAATGACAAATACCATGATATAGAGCGAACAGTGACATTGCAAGTAAAGTAACTAACGTTATCTAAGTTGTGGGTTAGCACACTGTCGCTACGGTTGCTGCTGTGAAGCTAAAATGTACGAGACGGTCCCAGAGCCAGCACAACAGCGGTACTCACAACTTTCCTGATACTATAGCTAACATCACAACAGCAGCATGTCTTTGCAAATTAAATAAAGCTGAAATTCCCGTGGCCAAGTAATTACTAACACTAACTGACACACAAATGATGGCTGGAACAACAGCTGGAATAATGTTGTGTGGTCGGGTGTGGGCCAATTTGTAGGTTTTCCATTTACATAGCCATGTCTGTGTACAAACAATAGGATTTTTTTTCCAGCCACACACAGAATGAACAGCTAGCAGTGAGGAGATACTCTCTGAATTTGACAAACAGACGTGTACTGGATTAGAATCACTAACCCCAACTTTAACCCTGAGGCTCAGGGTGTGTGAGTGGCCCTGTGTCAAAATCTAGTTTAAAGACATTCAATTATTTCAGTTTGAGTTCATAGTTTTATAAACTTTATTCATTTTAAGCCTATGGCTCAGTTTCTGGGGCTCTCTGGCAAAACACAATTAAGATGCAACGTGTACAGTGCCCTGTACACTTTAGTTGTTGCTCACTTTATGGCAACAGGGTGCATACACAATGCACAGAGAATAGGAGGAATAGGAGGTCCAAAGGGGCCCAAAACTAAGGGTAACTGTTAGTCAGTCATGAACTTTTTATAAGCAAATTACAAGTCTAATTGGTAGAACTATATCAGTGGTTTTCAGTCTTGGGGTTAGGACCATAAATCAAGAGCATTGAATGTAGAAAAATAAAAAATTTTCTGTTACAGAAAATTATGTTTAATGTAAAATTATTTACTTTGATTTTATTTTCTGTGAAATCCCGCGTAAGTCTCCCTTTTTTAAGGCCTCTGAAACCTAAATCTAATAATAAATATGAGTACTTGGTGAAACTGCTCAAAACTCACATCCACCTATGATGAAAGGTCACAGCCTAGACTTTGTTTCATTTCAAGGGCTTACAGACCAAAAATATTGAAAATTTACTTAACAATCCACAGAGGAATTGAAGTTGTTTGTGTGTGTGTGTGTGTGTGTGTGTGTGTGTGTGTGTGTATGTGTGTGTTGGGGTGTGTGCAGATCACCATCATACTTTTCACAGATAGCCTTGTGTACTTTTAAAACGACGTCGCATTCTGTCCTCGAGGAATCTCATGTAGTCAGTTCATGCATGAAACATAATTCATCTAAATACGTTCATCCTGTACATTAGTTTCTTCCCCTTGCTTAATGGTTTGTCAATCCACTGAACCCTGATCATTACTGCTGGAGTTGAAATTTGCATATTGATCAGGTCTGTTGACAGCGGCTCCCAAGGCTCTGATGGAACGAGCCCAATTAATCTGGGAGGCAGATACCTGACACACTCTGTCTTTCTATTGAAATGCATGAATCATTCCCGATGGGGCCAAAGGCAGGGTGACTGATTTGTTGGACTTCACACTATTAGACCTAGTTGGGTTGAATAAACAGTTTAATAGACATGCATTTACTGCAACTAAAGCAAACCATACATTTTTACCAATGCATTTTATTGTCCAACAAAAACATTGGTGGTTGACTTTAAGGCAAAGCTTTTAATTTACAACATTAGGTTAAATAAACTTAATTCATGCAATAATGTGTAGAAAAATAACCAATGAGACATTTTATTTGCTGTGATAATCATTATGTAGAAAAGAATGAATCACAACTGAATAAAATTAAAGATTTTCCAAAGCAAATCTGTAAACGTTATCTCCACTTTGATCATATTGCAAGCATGTCCTACGGTACTGACAAGCGTGTGCTGCCTCACAGAGGCAACATCCAAAAGTCAGTAGTAATAATTAAATTTTTCAGCATGAGTAGCCTAATTAACGGAATAAATATTAATATTAATAATAACTCATTAATAAAGTTCAACATTGGGCACGCGCATCTCTTTACAGCGAAATAGTACACAGTGCGTAATTGTCCTCCAAAGTCAGTTTGGAGGACAATTACGCACTGTCCAAAGAAACAAACAGCAGATAAATGTTTTGCCATGACACAGTAATTTGCTGCCAAAGAAAAACTGTGGCACAAAAGGTTAAATGATTGATAAATTCTTTTATCTTTTTTTTCATGTTTAATAATTCATTATGGTCACTTAATTTACACATTTATTTTGTTTACAATACAGTAGTACGCGCACACCAGATATTTGCTTAACCTACTCTCCATCCACTAAATCCTCCTCGGGTGCAAACCTTTTACCCGGGTGTTGTCTCTTCTCCTCGGCATGACTCTTGTTAATGTTGTCTAAAAAGTCGAGCAGCAAACTGGTCTTGCTGCAGCTCGTAGGGTCCAAAACATCACACGGACTGTTTGTGCCTAAATCCGGATTGGAGTTATCCCAAAACCGTTTTCCTGGGTGCTGACGCTTTCCCAACTCAGCGAGGTCATCGTCTCCATTTGCATCCGCATCCCAGTCCCCATCGCCGTCCTCATCCGCGGGATGGCGCTTACCTGGGTGCTGGCGTTTGCTGTGCAGCACCAGGTAGCGCTTGCCCGGGTGCTGCCGTTTTGAAAGTTCACTCAGGAGCATTAAGGGGTTTTCTGAAATGTGTCCCGTCGCGGAGCGCTTTCCTGGGTGCTGCCTTTTCTGGAGCTCCATGAACGAGTGCATTTCATCTTCGCGCTTGCCCGGGTGCTGTCTCCTTTCAACATCCAAGTATTGTTCGTCCTCATCTTCTTCTCTCCTCCCCGGATGCTGTCGCTTCTCCAAATCCGCACTATATCTCTTACCGGGATGCTGTCGTTTTGTCACCCATTCTGTCTGAGAGGAAGATCCCTCTGGAGAAAGAAAAACATTATCTCGATCACTTGAAGTATCCCCAAGTCAACTTTAAGTATATCCCTGTACTGCAAAGATGTGTTTCCCCAGCTTGTCTATTTCGTGCACACAAACGAATGTAGTTGGTGGCCCATATGCCTTGCATCATTTTGGAAGAAGATTCCTTTCAATTTTAATGTTTTAAAAGACAATTTCAAACATTATTAATTAATGAATTTTTATCCAACTGGAAAACTAGTTTTAACATGTTGCCACTTTAGTTACTTAGGCTTTCAGTTTGAAAAACGAGACAAAGAGCCCAGATAGCCTATTAATATAATGGTAGCGGTAAATGACAGGTTTACAACTGAATTTTTTAGCCTACTTTATTTTGCATCACCACATGACTAGGCAATGTTAAAAATGATCCAAGACATAGGCTACTGCGTATTTTACGCACCGCTTCTGCCGCCTTCATCCTGCATCTTTCTGAGAATGGACCGTAACAGGAGACTTTCTGCTCTCTGTAGTATGATGTCGTCTATGGTGCTTCGGTCCGTCTCATCCTCATCGGGGATGCCCTGTCCTCCAGACACGGCCAAGTTGCAGACCACGAGAGAAGCCAAGATAAGCAGACATGTCGACTTCATGGTCACTTAGTTGGTCGTCTGTTGGAAGAAATAGGTTGTGGTGGATGGGAAATATAATGCAACATATATGAGTGAATATGTGTAGTGTATATTTCTTACGTTGTTTGATTCAATTTCGAGACACGAAGTTGTATTTTTGAGTCTAAAACGATCGAGGGAGACAATGGGTCCAATGCAAATTGCAACTTTTTTTCAACTAGATAGGAGGAATTTTCTGAAAGCTCATTGAATTCTGATCGGAAATAGGATAATTTAACTCCAGCAGCTGCGTTTAAAACTTGTTTTACAGAAATAAAATATGTAAACTGAATGGCATGCTGTCTACAAAACCTTTCAAAAGAAAACTGAACGCACTAACGCATTATACATTTTTCCCACCCAGATAAGACGAATAAGAACCACTAACACAAAAGATAGATATACTTTGTATAAGGGTTTATCCTGAAGTGCGCCAGACTCACCTGGGATGTATCCAAATTCTCCTCTTTCCCAGCCTCTGTTGAGCCGGCAGTGATGATAGTTGCTCTATCTCAGCGGTTGGTGACCCGTAAAGTCTAGAGGTATGAGCAAGATAACTTTCTGTCTCAGCATTTATACTAACCGGTCACTGTCGTCACACCAACGCTGGAGTCATTTTTCAGGATCCCTCGTCCCCACTGATGTCACCAAGTCGTGCGCAACTGGATGTATGATCGACCTACAGGGGCCGCTGCCCAATTTGTATGTTTCAAAAACAAAGAAAGGCTTGAGTTTGAGATAGACAACAGACACTACTACAGGATGAGTGGATTAGATACATTAATTCGTTTAAATTGTGAATTTTGGACAAGTCATTTATTGTTTGTAAGTTTTATAATCCGTTTTCTCTTTAAGTTCATTAAGCTTTTGTTTGCGTGGATAAATATAGTTTCATGTATTCAGAATCTTTCATCGTGAGCACGAGTCTCCTTACAACAGGCTATGTTTTCTTTTTATTGCCGTTTGCCTCTCAGATGATGGTCAGAGTATCTTAACAAAAACAAAACATCTGAAGGTCTCCTATGGGGCGCCAGTCAGGGCTGCACATTCATATTTTTCATGAATACCCTAAGGTCACGGGACTCAGGAGGGAGAGCTGAATCCATCTGGTTCTTCTGAGCACAAAACATGTATTTTCTGGTCACGATGCAGCACAGAGGCGGATCTAACATGTTTTACATGGAGTGGGAGCAGGGGACCAAAAACCTAAATGTGACTTCTGAAGCCAGTTTTTGTATGTTTAGGCTATTAATGGAGTTTTCAACTACAACAACTAAAATACTGTATAAGTTCAAATCTGACATAGGCTACTTTAACTGAGTGGTTATTCTTCTATTCCACTACAATATTGTACACTGCTCAAAAAAATAAGGGAACACTTAATCATCACAGTATGACATCAAGTCAATTAAACTTCAGGGATCTGTCCAATTAGGAAGCATAAGCAATTGTGAATCAAAGTCACTTGTTTTGGTACAAATTAAAGTGACAACAGGTGCACTGTGAACCTTTTCTCTTCACAGATGAGAGTAGGTTCACACTGAGCACGTGTGACAGAGTCTGGAGACGCCGTGGTGAATGTTATGTTGCAACATGACCGGTTTGGCGGAGGATCTGTGATGGTCTGGAGAGGCATACCCTTGGAGTGTCGTTCAGACCTCCACATGCTAGCCAAATACCCTGACTGCTGTTACCTGGATGAACTCCTCAGAGCCATTGTCAGACCTTACGCAGTTGTAGTGGGCCCTGGGTTCTTCCTGGTGCAGGACAATGCCCGGCTTCATGTGGCCAGAGCAGTTCCTGGATGACGAAGGCATTGAAGTCATAGACTGGCCCTCATGTTCCCCAGACCTGAATACAACTGTGAACCTCTGGGAAGTTATGTCAGTGCGCCACAGACTGTCCGGGAGCTCACTCATGCCCTGATCCAGGTCTGGGAGGAGATCCCCAGGACAGGAGTCTCATTATGAGCATGTTGTCAGGAGTGCATACAGGCATGTGGGGGCCACACTACTGAGTCACATTATGAATTGCTGTGTTGACAGTCAGATCAGCCTGTACTTTCCTTTTTTATTATTTTGATTTTCAGCATGAATTTTGAATCCAGCCTTCAATCAGCTGGCGATTTTGGTTTCCACTGGCCATTGTTATGTCATTTTGCTCTCAACCAATTTGATTTTTTAACTTTGAACTTTTTCATTAATCGAGATCTGATGTGTGATTGAAATGTTCCCTTAATTTTTTTGAGCAGTGTACTTTTTACTCCACGATATTGATCTAACAGCTGGAGTGACTAGTTATTTTGCAGATTAATATTTTAAATAAAAATAAATCATATGCAGAACTTTAAAAATATGTTACACTGTAAAACATTAAACTGCCCAACAATATATACAATTAGAAACAATTGATTGAGTAATCTGACAAAATGGATGCTGTTCTCCCAGGTCCTAAGTTACAGTAAACCGAATAAAAGTTTTGACTGTTGACCCTGATAAGAGTTGCTGAGTGCACACTGTGAATTTTTGCACATCCTTGTTAATTATGCTGTATTTTTTTTGTTGCATTTTTTGTATTAGTATTATTGTATTATTGTATTATTTTGTATACTTCTACATTCTTGATCTCTTTACTTTTTCTACATTTATATTTCTATATTATGTTTATGTGTACTGTTAAGCACCAAGTCAAATTCCCCATATGTGAAAATGTACCTGGCAATAAACCTTCTAACTGTCTGTTTCTGTGAAGTGTGTCAATATCAGCTTGACAAAAACACACGATCAACATGTAAACACGCTGAGTTTGTCTCAGCTGGACGTCAGATCAGTGGTGGTTGGTGATTTCGCTTAATTACTGGTGTACACTCTTTTTTGCAGACAGCTGGCAGGCTACACACAAAGGCAGTAATTCAATTGTTGGCAACAATAACTGTGGATGTGAAGGCAACTGTGTGGATTCCTGTTGAAGGAAATTTGGCCCTTATTAAGATTGTGTTGTTGAGCAGTCCACTGAACCAAAGTATGAAACTTCTCAATCCACATAAATTTAAATCCAAAACTCACCAAAACTACCTGTATGAAACGATCTGCAGATCTTGTCCATATGCAGAGATAAATTACTCCACCGTCTGGATGAACTCCTGCATAGTGAATATCGGCATGAATTGAATAGGCCGTGTAATGCTGTAATTACTTGCTTTCAGTGTGCTGTCACGTCCAATACTTCAAGCGGGTTTAGACTCCTGCCGAGCCTGCAGTTAAAAACATCAATACCCCTGGTGGAAATCATATACTTTGTGACTGATTTTTATAGAATACTGTCAGAAATCTTATAACTATGACTATCTCATTTTCCTTTATGAGGAAACTGATAGAAATCCCTGTTTGACATTCTCTATAATGATATATTGAAAATAAAATTTGATCAGTATCCCCTCAAAGGGTAAAGGTGATGAGACTATTAATGTTTTAGTTAGAGCTTAAATATGAGAAATCGCCCAGGTCAAAATTGAATACTTCACTTGTATTTTGTAAGTCTAAGTAAAACAGAATCAGCTGTGTAGGAGAAATACAACTGGGTGAGGAACAGCCAAACTCAGCTATCAAGGTGAGGTTACTAAAGAGAGTTTACTGTCAAAAGTCATGCACCATGGCAAGACTGAGCACAGCAACAAGACACATGGTAGCTTTAATGCATCAGCAAGGTCTCTCTCTGGCAGACATTTCAATGCAATCAGCGATTTCCAGACGTGCTGTCCAAGCTCGTATAGATGCAAAGAAACGTACCGCAGAAGATGAAAGACACATCACGCTTACTTCCAGTCGCAATCAGAAGATGTCCAGCAGTGCCAACAGCTCTGAACTGGCAGTAAACAGTGGGACCCTGATACACACCTCTACTGTCAGGGGGAGTCTGGTCAGAAGTGGTCTTTATGGAAGACTTGCTGCCAAAAAGCCATACCTCTGACATCGAAACAAGTCTGTGCAACAGAACTATGCACGAAAACACAGGAAATGGGGCGTAGAAAATTGGCAGAAGGTGCTCAGGACTGATGAGTCAAATTTGGAAAAACATGGCTGTAGCAGAAGGCAGTTTGTTCATCGAAGGGCTGGAGAGCAGTACAAGAAAGAGTGTCTGTATGCACCAGTGAAGCATGGTGGAGGTTCCTTGCAAGATTGGGGCTTCATTTCTGCAAAGGGAGTTGGGGATTTGGTCAGAAGTAATGTTCTCCTCAGTGTTAAGAAGTACAAGCAGATACTTATTCGTCATGCAATGCCATCTGGGAGGCATCTAATGGGCCCAAATTTATTCTGCAGCATGACAACAACTCTAAACATACAGCGAATGTCATTAATAACTTTCTTCAACCTAAAGAAGAACAAGGAGTCCTGGAAGCGATGGCCCCCACAGAACCCTGATCTCTGTCTGGGATTACATGAAGAGAGAGAAGCAACTGAGACTGCCTAAACCCACAGAAGAACTGTGAGTAGTTCTCCAAGGTGTTTGGGTCAACCTACCTGCCGTCTGTTACCCCAGTGATCCATCTGCATGTCTGTCTCTGTTTTCCCCTGCTCTCTCTCTCTCTCTGCCTGCCTCGTTAGCCTCATGTCTTTCACCTGTGTTGCTCCCACCCTGCTTGTTAGTCCCTGTGTATATATACCTGGTGTTTCTGTCTTGTCCTTGTCGGGTCATTGTATGTTGTCACCTTGTGTAGCAGTGTGTTGCTCCTGTTGTCAGCCTCACTTGTCAGCCTCACTTGTCGTGTCTCCCTGTTTCCCTGCTCGTTTTGGTTTCTGGATTTCTCGTTTGGATTACTTTGTTTTTGGACTCTGTCATCAGCCACTCAGTTTGTAAGTGTGCCCCCCCCCCCTTGTTTATTAAAACCCCTAGAACTGTACCTCCTTTGCCTTGCGTCCTGCATTTGGGTCCCACTACCTGCCTCGACACGACAAACCGTGACAAACACTGTGCAAGTGTACCTAGAAGAATTGATGCTGTTTTGAAGGATGGTCACACCAAATATTGATCTGATTTAGATTTTTCCTCTGTTCACTCACTTTGCATTTTGTTAATTGATAAATTTAATCTATTAACATGTCCATTTTTGAAAGTGTTCTTACTTTCTGCATTCTGCCTAAAGTTTTGTACAGTACTGTGTACATAAACACAAACATACATGTGTATATGATGTGTGAATGAGTATGTGTGTGTTTGAGTAAGTATGTATTTATCTATACTTTAACCAGAAGTTCCTGCCACAAGGCGGCACACCAACTGCCAATAAACAGAAGTAGTTGAGAGACAAGTGGATCTAAAATGCATTTATGGTGGTCAGGCTGAAACTGTCACTTTGTTTCAGAATCAAGTGACACCAAGATTGAAAAAAGTGGCTCATAGTATGCCACCATATGCTGATGCCTCAAGTTATGTGCACATACCGTTTCAATGTAGTGCAACATTGCACCATAATTTATGGTATATATATATAAACAGTTTTTAGATCAGATCACAGCAATCTCCAGCAAATTAACGGCAGACATCTATGAATCATGATCATGAAGGATCCCCAGAAGGGAACAATCCCATCCAACTACTGGCCAGTAACCTGCCTCTCCACAACATGGAGTCAGGCATCATAGCGGCTAAGATTAGTAGGCACATTGCTCAATATATGGACCGG